CACCCCTCCCAGTGTCATTGTCGCTACACTGGTCGGCTTTCACTTTGAAGGCCTCAACTCTTTTGACCTTCCCTCTGGCTTGTTCTTTGACAAAGTTGTGGGTAGTGCCTCCTTTGTGGCCGTCGCCACCCACCCACAGCCTGCCGGGGCCCTGCGTCAACCCACTGTGTCCATTCTCCTATATGATCGCTTCCAGCCAGGAGTCGTCACCAACTGCTCCCTCACCGACACCTTTGGTGGTAACCTCAGTGACCTGAAGCTCCTTCTTACCGACGCCTACCTGCTCGCGTGGTCACCGTCCTCCCAACTCCCCCTCGTCGCCTGGCACATTACCTCCTATCCCGGTGGTCTTCATCTCACCGCTCCTGCTAATAATACCGCCCCTGGCTCGTCCATTCGTGAAGTGACACCTTTTGCCGATCATTTTCACCTCGTTTCTGATCACATTGATTCAGACGTCATCGACTATGATGAGCTGACCTTTGTGGACTACGCCTATCAGAACATCTCTTCCTCCACCTACCCGGATATATTTCCACAGCAAGCCCTCGTCGCCACCGGGACTGAGCAGCTCACGGCCGCCGGTGTCCTCGAAAGCAGCAATTGGTTCATCACCATGCACAAGATTGTCAACTCTCACAATCATTACATCTTAGAGGGCCAGTTCCAGTGCCAGCAGACCGGCCCCTGTTCAGAAGGCGTCTTCCAAGTTGGCCGCGGCGTGATGGCCAATCTCTTGAACGTCGATATTGCCAATGGTGTTCTCCTGCTGACGATGAAACATGGCCTCTTTAGCGTGGCCATTGATGCCATCAACAACAGCATGCTTTTTTTGGATTTCGATGGTAGCCTTGCTCAGAGTCAAGACTTGGTTCTTCTCAAGCCACCCATCACGCCCGTATCATCATCTACCGCGTCTACCGCGTCTATCTCGTCTACCTCGTCTACCTCGTCTACCTCGCCCACCTCGTCTACCTCGCCCACCTTGTCTACCTCGTCTACCTCGCCCACCTTGTCTACCTCGCCCACCTTGTCTACCTCGTCTACCTCGCCCACCTTGTCTACCTCGTCTACCTCGCCCACCTTGTCTACCTCGTCTACCTCGCCCACCTTGTCTACCTCGTCTGGTCCGCCGGCCTCCTCCGTGCCGGCTTCTCTTTCTACGAGCCCTGCTGTGTCGAACAGCCCCTCAACCGAGCCCAGCTCGTATTCGACCATCAGTTCAAGGTCCTCCACAAATAGCCCATCGCCCACCACAAGTTCCACTCCTGCGGCGCACACAAGCCTATCCCCTGCGACAACCTCTTCGCTTACATTTGCAACCTCAGCCACCCATGACACAAGCCCGGCTGCCCCGACCAGCACGAGCTCGGGAATGGCGCCCATGTCGCCCTCCACTCCAGCCCTTGCCACAAGTCCCTCTCCCGACTCTACCACGCGTGCCCCACGGCACCCGCATGGACTGACCCCTGCACAGCATCAAGGCACCACAAGTGGACCACCCGTCCCGGTTTCCTCTAGCCCAACAACAGCTTACAAGGGCGCCACCTCAGCTGCTGCCACGGCTGCTGCGTCATCCACCAGCGGCAGACATGGCCATTCACTTTTGGTCGTGGCATTGATTGGCGGCATCGTCGGCGTCACAGTCATATCAGCTACTCTGATTGGTTTACTAATCACGAATCGCTCCCGCCGTCGTATGATTAACAATCGGATCGTCTCCAGCGTCGTGAGTTGTGTCTCTAGCTCGGCATGCACGGTTTCACTTGGCTTCACCTTGATGTTCTGGGCGCGCGATTTGATTCATTCTGTGCTCGCATGTTGTCCACAGATTCTTCAAGAATCTGACGACAAAGAGTCTCTGGCCATCATGGGCTTTGAAGGTATGTTTTCCGTGACTTTGATTTGCCATTGCATTGGAGTTCATTATTTGTGCAATGACGACGGGGTTGGTTCGGATTTTGGTCGCCCGTTTTCTCCTTGTTTGTGGAAGATGACCTGGTCGGCGAGGATGATGCTGGAAAATACACTGGGTCACGGCAAGGCAACAATGCCAATGTTATTGAGGATCGATTCGCCACTTTCGAGGAGGACGCCTTCCTTCCGACCAGCGTTTCTCACTTGGAACGTTTTGACACCATGGTCACCCAGTCCCTATCTCCCGCCCTCGCCTCTGCTTACGTGGGCGACATGCTGCGGTTCGTAATCAGGCGCTGCTCTCTCTCTGGGCCCGATGTAGCCCCAGTGCCCTGCCATTCACGGATTTCAATGCCCGACCTGTAGGTATGACCCATCTGCGTTGCATCGCATGGACGAGGAAGGCAATTCCCTACTCATGCTGGCCATCGCCCAAGGTTTGAGCGCATTGCTGGGTTCATGGCAATTCACGAGCCGCGTCCTTCATGGGTCATGAAGACGGCACGCGCTGTCCTCACATCTTCTGTTCTTTGTGTGCGCGCACGTGAACAGGCAATTCAGTGCTGTGTGAAGCCATCTTGAACATCGACCCAAATTTGATCGAGGCTGTCAACGTGCAGTACCAAAACTGCCTTGCTCAAGCTGTCTTGCGCGTAAGTTCCACTCGATATTGCCCGAGATGAAAGCTTGCGGCGTCGATGCGTGCTTATGGTACCGATTGTCGTAGAACGACGAGGCACTGCTGGATGTGTTTGAGCCTTTCACACAGTATCATCATGTGGTGCACATGGACAACTTTGGGTACACGGCGCTTCACGTGAGTTTCTCTTTGCTCCAAGCCGTGATTCTTTTTTTTTTTTTTCTTTCTTCATTTTGGCTTTTCGGTTGCACCATCGCTTTGCATTCATGCTCACAAAACTCCTGTTCATCTGTCATCATAGTGGGCCCTCATGTCTTGCAATGAGACGCTTGTAATGCGCCTTGCCATCATGCACCCAACAGCCCTCTTGATCAATACCAATTTGCACGACTCGTGTTTGCACTTGGTCGTGCGGGAGGGTCGGGCCTCACTGCTAGCGCAGCTCTTAAACAATCTGCACAGCGTGACCATCCTGTTACTTATGCGAACAGGTTCCTCGCATGCTACGCCCCTGGAGCTAGCCACCATCTTTGTGCAAGAGGAGTGCCGCAAACTTCTCGAGCCGGCTCTAAGCAGCATACGCAAGCGCAACGAGACTGACAAAGTTTTGCAGAAGCGCCTAGCCAGCACGGCTCGCATGCGCGTACTGCGTCAAACATCGGACGTGGGTGACGATAGCAGTTGAGGTGTCACTGGCAACCGTTTGGGCCTGAGCTGTAGCCACGGTGCTTCCTCGTCGCGCCTCAACCTTCAATTTGTGTTTGTCTTTTGCCGGGGGCCTTATTAGCTTTTTTCCTCTTCTTTGTTTTTGTTCTCCTCATCATGTTTATCATCATCTCTATTCCCCGTACTCTTATGCTCACTTCATCTATTTTGATGCTTACGTACGACTGCCATGTTTTGGTTGTTGCCTCGTCTTGTCAAGCGTCGCTGCCCATTGCCAACGAGCACTCCTCAACCAAAGTCAGCAAGCAGCTGTCTTTTGGAGCCAGGCGTGTCGTTGAAGCGGGGTTATGTGGACCTTTTCCCGATGCCCTTTTTTTCGTGTGTCAATTGTTTGACCACTCAGCTTATCCCGGCCGTCGTTTCTATTCTGTTCTTGAGCTGTGCATCCTCGAGTGCGCCATGTGTTATCACTCTTGTTCTCCTCTAGCTAGCCACACACATTGGTTGATTGATTGATTGTTGTTTTCTCAGGTACCCAGGTTTTTTTTTATCTTCTCGTTGCCACTTGACGGTGGCGACCATGTGCCATGCTGTTTCATTTGCTTGGCATGGCTCTATCCCTTGGTTCTCGACTGTGTCGAACTAGCAGAGTTTTGTTTGTCTCGGTGGCTTGCATGCCTTATCTTTCTTGCCCAGAGAGTTTGTCTCGCGACTCTGCTGGCCGCCAATAGAATGACTTTTTTTTTATAATGAATTGATTTTTTGCTGGCCTAAACAAACGGCAGACAGTGCATGCTTGTGCCACTTCTCCGGGCATGAAAGAGTTGGATCTCGCCCGTGCATGTTCCTGAGGTACCAGGACAGACCGATCATGCGACGGCGCAGTTGGTCAAGGGTCTGGCTTTGGATTGCCAAAGCTCAGATTCGCGTTAGGTGTTGTCATCAACATCACAGAGTTCCGGGCGCAGCCCGTGGAGATCAAGAAGGAGGAGGAATGACTCAAAAAGGTAGGTAGACCTGCACACCAGGGTTTTATTCTTCCTTGCGAAGCCATTGGACGGGATTCCGCTGATAGAAGGGCCATGCTGGCAAGCAGAGCTACGGTTGGAAAAGGCAACAAAAGAGGTGGTGTTCAGGAGATGGAATGAGCAGAGGGCGAAGCTGCTCTGCATCGCGAGCAGTGCCAAATGGTCGGGTCGATGTGCCAAGAGGCTTACGATGCAAGCCAAAACGACGCCCGCGGCCGTGACATAAGTCGTCTGTGCAAAGTCTTGACACCACCAGCCCCAGATAAAGCCAATTGCCGTAAAAGCTCCAATGATTACTTGGTACAGGTATTCGGACAGGGCCTGGCCCTCAAAGTCCTGCATCGCACAGGCACGGGAGGTGAGCACCGCCCCCAGCTCAAACAACAACAACAACAACAACAACAACAACCACGATCAGGCCCCCCACCATGTGTGTCTGAATGTTAAACATGGCCCGCAGTCCTTCGTTTACACTTGCACACACTCGAATAAGCGCTTGTACTGCGTGATGTCTGTTCTCAATACCGATCACCGTCACCGTTGTCGCCGTCGCCGAACGCCGAACACCTTCGCCGTTCTCGTCTTCGCTCTCTCTCTCTCTCTCTCTTGTCGTCGTGTCAACTGATGGCTCATTCCGTCTAAAGTATAACGAATATCACACTACCGCTTACACACACACACACTCACACACACACACACACACACACACACACACACACACACACACACACACACTCTCTCTCTCTCTCTCTCTCTCTCTCTCTCTCTCTCTCTCTCTCTCTCTCTCTCTCTCTCTCTCTCTCTCTCTCTCTCTCTCTCTCTCTCTCTCTCTCTCTCTCTCTCTCTCTCTTGCCTGCGTACCTCTCTCTGTGTGAGTGCGTGTCTGCCTGGGTGCCTAACTGGCTGGCTGGCTGGCTGAGCATCTGGCTGCGTTTGGGTCTGTGGGGCAAGTCTGTACCGGGATTTGTGGGCAGGCTTTGGTTCCTGCCTTTTTCCTTTTCTGGCGTTGCTGGCGACGCCGACAGGATGGCGATTGATGAAGAGCAGGTGGGGGCGTCGGCTTGCCATGTCGCCATGTGGTCGCGGGATCGACACTCGATGCGTTGAGGACAGTGGCTCAAGACGCAAGGTGGTTGTAGATCAAAGTGGCTGTCAAGTTCCTGCTGGATGACAAGGTGCGCGGCATCGACGAGGAGGCAAAGCGATCTTTTCTGATCCGCAAAGGTGAGGCCAAGCTAGAGCGTGGAGCGCGAGTAGCCGGTACTCGACTGACATTGTTTGCCAAACGCCAGGTCTCAATGAGGATGAGATTCGTGCCGCTTTTGCCGCGGCCGCACAGGGTAAGCGTCATTTGGTGTTGGCCAAAGCCGTTGCTCCTCCATGGTTGTCTGACGAAGCAGCCCTGCTCACTCGGATGCGCTGCCAGTGCCACCGGCACCTGTACCATTGAGTTGGAGCGAGATCTTTCTAGGCACAGGGTTCCTGGTTGCGGCAGGCATTGGTGCCGTCAAGTTGTACCGGGTACGGGAACCATGCCGGAGTGTGTGCCCGACATGCGTGTCATGCGATGACCAAATTCAGAGACTTGGCCTGCTGGGTCTAATCTGCTGTAGACATTTTTTCCGGTTGACGAGCCATCTTCTGGCACTGCGGCGCCTACCTCACGCGCAGCCGATGCCCGCACACAAGCCGGCTTTGTTACAGTCAGCGCCAGCAACGGAGGCAACAATGCCAACAGCCTCGAGGCCAAGCTCGATGATCTGGTAGCCGCCATTGAGGTCAGTCAAGGCTGCAGGCCGCCTTCCTATCCAAACTGGGCTGTGGTCCTCTACAGCAGGTGATAACTTGCCCGGTTCATGCCTGATCCTGGTGTGGTAAAACTCTGCGTGCTTTTGTCGGGCCAGTCCCTTAGTCGAGACATGAGGCAGCATGCCAACACACAGCATGTTGAGGCACTACAAGCCGAGCTCAAGTCGATCAAATCGCTCCTCGTCAGCCAACAGTTCGTGTGATAGCCCCTTGGGCATGACCTGCCATCCATGCTGTTTAATGCCACTATCGTCTCTCACCGTTGCAATACACCATACTTCTCCGACTTTAGAAAATTTCCGGCCATGCCGGCAGGACGGCAATCACGTACCCCCTTTGCGTCAACCTCGGCGAGTGGTGGTGCTGGGGGGCCCGCATCTCCCTCGGCCAGTAGTCCACCGGCCACGGCACCCGACGGTGAAGAGTGAACAAGCCTTTCTGTGCGTTTGTGTGTCAGCATAGCGAACGTGCTGAAGCCAAAGCCTGCTGTTCAACTCTGGAATTTATCTCCCCCAATTGTTGTGTCCAGCGCCCCTAATACCTCCCATGCAAAGAGCTGTGAAAATGCAGCCTTGAATGCGGAGAGATGATAATTGACGCTGTCTGAACATGTCCGTGTGGTCTTTGATTTTGATTTTTGATTCTTGAACGCGCAGCGCTCGGCCATTCTTGTGCATGCTGTACTCTCCCCCACTCACAGGTCGAGCATCTGCCGTGATGAGAACAAGCGGGCCTTTGAGAAGCAGGTGGTTTACATGACCTTGGCTCATTGAAAATCAGAAACTTACCAGCTGGGCTAGAATTTTCTCAAAGTGCTCCTTACTGACGGATTCATCGCCCTCCTGTTGGGCGCGGCCTCGTGCACGGCGAGCCCCCTCTGCCAAAACCATGGCCAGGAGCGTGAGAAGGTCCAAAGGTGGGCCCGAAAATTAGCCAACCCCATCGTGTTTCACCACACGCACGCGATACATACCAACTAAAACCACCTTGAGATACTCTGCAAACAGCAAGGTGGTATTGCGACCCACTGCCATCAGACGCAGCACATGAGCCGGGCAGCCGACGGGAAACCAACCAGCCAGCCAGTCGAGCAAACAGCAACATCATACGTACGCTTTGGGGTTTTCGTCTCATCGGCCCAGTGCAGCTTCAGTAGCTTCTCGGCCACCGCCTAAGGTCCCGGGCAGAGGTATGAGAGGCAGGCAGCTGGGATGCACCAAAACACCAACACATATGTGGTGTGCACCAACCTCGGGAATGTGCCGGGAAGGCAGGGGCTGAGGAATGTCCTCGCCCCCTGCATCGCTTCCATCATCCATCCTCCTCCACACCCCTCAAACGCATGCACACCCCACACCAGCAATCAATCCCCCCCGCCGCTGCCCTCGACCAGACCAGAACCAGCCTCAGGTTGAGACTTGTTGATGATGATGATGATGATAAAAGAGAGAGAGAGAGAGAGAGAGAGAGAGAGATGAATTGGTTTGGTCGGTTTGAGAAACTACCACATGTAACAACAACAGGGAGACAGAGAGAGAGAGATTCGAGAGAGAGAGATTCGAGAGAGAGATTCGAGAGAGATGAGATGAGAAAGAGAGAAATAAAGAGCAAAGACACAAAGGAAAAGCACACAGAGAGAGAGAGAGAGAGAGAGAGAGAGAGAGAGAGAGAGAGAGAGAGAGAGAGAGAGAGAGAGAGAGAGAGAGAGAGAGAGAGAGAGAGAGAGAGAGAGAGAGAGAGAGAGAGAGAGAGAGAGAGAGAG